TTCTACCTGTCCCCCCCCACAGGGATTTTTCTAAAAACTGGCCGCCGTGCCCCGCAATGATCACTGCGTCACCGTTTGCCACTTTCCCAACTACGCAGTGACAAACCTCCGAGCTCGGAAAGGCAGAGCTGCCTGTTAACCCTTCCACCAAACCCTCACCACCAGCCTCTAGAGAGAGAGAGGGGGGGGGAATAAAAAAAGCCCCTGCAGAACAGGCAAACGGCAGTCTTTGCAAAGTTGTCATCTCTCCCCCACGACTACTACCCTCCTCTGCAGCACAGCAATGCCGACGGAGAAGTGACATTAGTACAACCTGTGCCCGTCGTTCCATTGAGAAAACAGCTCTGACGCAGAACAGAGCAATCAGACCCAGCCAAAATAATAATAATAATAATACAGGCACTTTGGGAGCCCAACTTAGGGACGCCGGGGGGAAAGGGACGCCCTGCAAATAATTAAAAATACGCAGATGCAGCTCGAGCCCCATCTTGATCAAAGGGTACGTACGTGGGAAAGACGAACCGGACCGAAGAGCTCTGTGCCCGTGCACCATCTGCGCAGTCCTCAGCCCTCCGCTCGCTGGGTAGCGCCGCAGAATAGAAGGTTCCAGAAATTTCCTTTCCGTTAACCCTTTCGGTGTCTGCCCACTCTCCCTCCCCGCGGGATTAAGCGCGCCGGGTCTCCAGCATCGTCAATGGGCGAAGCCTCCTACGCCCAACCGAGCCCGAACACCATCTTTTAAATGAGACCAGGCGACGGCAGGAGCCCGGTCCTTGGTGTTGGTGTCACTTCTCTCTCTGGAGCCCTCTCTGCCTCTCTTTGCTGCCTCTCTTCCCTCTTGCTGCAGCAGGGCTGTTGCTGGTAGACCTATCGACGGAGCTTGCTCTCTCTCGCTGAGCTCTGTGACGCAGCTCTAAATTCTCCAGCCTGCTCCCTGTGTTATAGGAGCGGAACTGCAGCTTTCCAGGGAGCCCGTGCCAGCGGTGCCAGGGCCAGGCAGACCGAAGGGAACGTCGCTCCTGGACTCTGCACCTTTTTTTTTTTTGGTAATTATTATGTTCCTCACCTCTCTTTTCCTCTGCTTCCTCCCGAGGCTCGCAGCCTCGCATCTCCTTCTCCGCTTCTGAGTCATGCTTAACTAGGTTAACTCTTTTAGGATTGGTAGTCAGCAATACAAAATCTTGAACGAGCGCAGCTGAAACCACAGCCAACTTTGTGGTGGTTTCTGCTTTAAAAAAAACCAAAGCAAATCTTCTTGGCTCTAAAAAACAAAAACACACACACACACACTCAGGCGCACACACACGTTCCAGTAGAGAGTTAGTGCTTTTTTGATTAACTGTTTCGGTGACAGGAACCACGACTTGGCTTCCTAAAATAAAATATTTTAGGCCTACGTCTTGCAATTGCTCAGCAGGGAGATACCCTGAAGCACAAAACAACTGAAAAGGAACTGCTTCTGTGAGCAAAAGCAAGTCTTTTGGGTATGAAAGCGTGAGGCTACTGCTGGACCCAGAGGACCCTGCTGTGCTGGCCACAAGGCATCCATCCGAGTGTGGTTCAGCCCCCGGGCAGATGCAGGGTGTCAGATAAAGCACTGAAAGCCCTAAGAAGCTACAGGCTCTTCTCAATCTGAACGGCATTAATAAGGTGTTACCACACACACAGATTCCCAACGCTCAGCGTAGGCAGGGGAAGGAATAACTGCGTTCCTGGAATCACCAGAATCCAATAATCTCCATCAAAGAAAGCTCACGGAGAGCGATGTGTTTCAGCCGGGCAGGAATCACCCGGCAAGACAAACTTGGGAGAGGGATGCTCTCCCCCCTTGCCCCCCGCCCTGGGACCACCCACCCCTTCGGCAGCTCCGGCACCGGGAAGCAGCGCTTGGATCCTCCAACCCGGGAAATGTGGAGGCGGCTCCGTGGTGGATGCAGCGTCTGGGAATCAAAAGGGATGCTCCTGGAAGAGCCAGCACCGTTCCAGGGAGTCGGTGCCTCAGTCTGCCTGTACAAAAGAGCGAGTGAGAGAGCCAGCAGCCCCTTTGAAACACACCCAAATCGAGGGAGAGATCACCTACTACACAGCCACATCTGCCATTTTAATTCCCAGCTCCGAGCTGGCTGTGAGCGTTGGGGTTTTTTCACTACAACCAAAGCTGAAGTAACCGCTATTTTTTTTTTTTTTTCTCTTCGCAGCGTCTGAAGAGCCCGAGCTATTTTGGGATTTGTCTGTACTACACTGAAAATGACACCTGTTACGCACAGACACAAACGAGAAGAATTGCAAGCTCCCGGCTTCTCCGATATGATTCTACCAAAAAAAAAAAAAATTTCTCTTCGCAGCGTCTGAAGAGCCCGAGCTATTTTGGGATTTGTCTGTACTACACTGAAAATGACACCTGTTACGCACAGACACAAACGAGAAGAATTGCAAGCTCCCGGCTTCTCCGATATGATTCTACCAAAAAAATAAAAATAAAAATGAAAGGAAAAAGTTCCTACGAGCCCGGGGGAGCGGCGTGGGCTCCTCGGGGGGGGCGAAGGGGATGAGCCCTGTGGATTGAACACTGGTATGAAAAATTAAAAGGCCTGTTGTAGCTGGTGTGAGGGGAAGTCCAACCTCTCTGTGTGACCAGAAGTGGTGCTCGATCAACTCAACGCCACCAGACGTGGTTTCTTGTGCAATCAGGAACCCATGGGACTCACAGCCTTACCCGTACGCGCTGGGGCCGAAGCTGCGAGCCTTAATTACTTGGGTTAACGAAGGTACAACCCGCCAGAGCACGACGGCTACTCAAATGAGTCACCCCGCAGCGATACTCACCCGAGGAGGCCACTGGGATGTTAAACTGGGCTGGTTTCGCTCACCCCTCAGTTAGCTCAGAATGGGGTCAGAGTGGATTTTCCGCATTCCCCCTTTTCCTGTGGGCATTCCCTGTTTTCCCAGTGATTTACAACCCCCCCCGGAGGAGGCAGAGGCATCTCCTGGACCCGCGAGACCCCTCGGAGTCTGGAACATGGAGCTTTAGCAAGATAAAAGACGTGGAGGCTCAGAAATGGGACAGTTGTTGGGGGTTTTTAGCTCACAGCGGGTTTTGTCACTCCTGTGGTAGATTAAGAAAGTAAAATGGAGCTTTAATTTCTTTCAAACGATATCTTTTTGGTTGCTTTCAGGGGAAAGGCGGCATTTATTTTACGGTTTACTTTCATTTTGGAATGAACCAGCCATGGAACGTTTCTGCCTTTTCCTGACTGTAAGTATTTACTTTATGGTGGCCCCCGGGAAGACTCCGAGCCACACAGTTCACTGGGAAACACTCAGGTGTGCAAGTGGGACAACACAGCTCCTGGAAAGCTCCAGCACCCACACCTGAATCATGAGGTCCATCTTCTTAGAGAGTTAAGTCAGTTAGATGTTGGGCAGGCTTTGGCATTTTCTGTGAGCTGAAATAAGGAAATAGAGGCCGTGATTCCATGGGAGAAATCTAGGCTGCTTTTCTGTTTTAATTGGAGCCCGTGTACATGTTTTATTACTGCCTTTTTTTTTTTTTTTTTCCTTCTTTGTTTTTTTTTTTGCCTCCAAACTCTGTCTAAAAGCAGGAGGCAGAACTTTGGTTTGGTAAGAACTGACTACAAGGAGCAAAGTCCCTGGGCAGAACAGCAAGCTTGGGAAATGAAATAGAAATTATCCTTGGCTGCAGCAGGAGGGAGGGAGCTCGGTCTCACCGTGCTGATGGCACTGAAAGTGTCCCTTCCCAAGGGAGGGGGGCACCTGAGGGCTGACTACAGCTGTTGATTAAAAAGTAAAATAGTTTTGCTAGTGCTGGGCGATGGAAGGAGATCTCAGGGCTTAGACCTGGCACGGTTCAGGCTGGTTGTTAGGGGGGAAAAAATGAATTTCTTCAGGAGGGTGGGTGGGACTGAGCCCCAGCCGGCGCTGCCAAGTCTGCCCTCAATTGGCAGTTTCCCTCGGCATCGGGAAGGATGAAGGAGCAATTCCTCAGCGAGAGGAGGACGTGTGGGCCTGCCCCTGCCTACGTGCCATGCTGTACCTAAGGCTGCATCCTCCTTTCTCTGAGGATTCTCTGAGTCTGGTTTCTGCTGAGATGCTACAATGACCTTAATAGCAATAACCTACCGGGTTTGACGCTACGGAAACCCAACCCCTCGCATCGTTATGGGCATTTCGGGTGATGAAATAACCTCGGCCACCCACTGAGGGAGGCCCTTGGTCTTTTTTAATGAGGAATGAAATCCTGGTGGTGCTGCCCGTGCTGTCAGCTCCCTGCTGGCAAAGCCCTGGCCCGGGTTTGGGTGTAAATGCCACGGGCCACCCCTGGGCCACCCCTTCCTCCCGCCGCAGGAAACGGCCATTGTTGGAACCGGGGCATGTTCCTCTTTCAAAGGCTGAGAGCAAAATAATCCCAAGGCCTGGACGATGCCAAGCAAATTCCTGCCTGAGATGGAGCAGCTGGAAATTTATAACCCCTCGGCCTCAGTATCCGTGTAAAGGACATCTCGGGACATCACCCTGGGAGCGGCAGGGAGGGAAGGGAAGGGGCAAGGAGTCGGGCAGAGGTGGGAAGGGTAAAACCCAGCAACACCACTTGGCACAACCTGCTGCAACCAGCCACAACTCCTGAAAGATGCTTTAAAAAGTAAAATAGTAGGGTTTTCAGATGCTGATGTGGGATAGCTCTTTTCAAAAATGTTTTCCAACAAAAAAATCTCTTTCGGCACAGAATTCCCAGCCAGGAATACCAGCAGAGACAGGACCACGATGCTCCATCTGCTGCTTCCCCTCCCCAATCAGAGGGTGGTTAATTTTTAAAATTTTCTTGCCGTAATAGAAAATCATCCTTAAAAAAAATAATCTCACTTAACTCTTTGTTATAGTAAAACAATTATCTACATTGACTGCAAGTAAAGAAGTAATGTTAGTTGTTACTTATGGAATTTGCCAAGTTTTTAATGTTTGCTTATTTAAAATGAATACAGTTTTGCATATGGGAAGGCTGAATTAAATAGAGGTTAAATAATTCGACCCACATTTTATGTGGAATCAGGATCAAAGCCGATATGGAAGTTTGGGAGTTCCTTGCTCCCAGGTTTTACTCAGGTTGTGCCTCTTGCTTAATTATAGCCCTTATTGCATGGGAAGCCCCCAGTCAATTAGTGCGACTTCCCTGGGAGCTGAAACAGAAGCTGCCGGAACAGTGTGGCTTTTAGAGGAAATTATAGGAAATTATTTAACGGAGATACTTTCTTTCATTTTTCAAAGAAAAGCAGAAATAAGACTTTGAAGTCTTCCTTGTATTTTCACACGTACGTGGACGAGAGGTGATTCAGGGAGCTGTCCTGCCAGTCTCTGGGACCTGTGGGTTTTTAGGAAACTGGAGCTTTGTGGCTCCAAACTGGGAATATTGGCTACGACAGGTCCCAAAGGCCACGGAGGGATATTCAGTGTAATATCCAGCAGAGTGTAAGCATCAGGTTCTGTTCCACTGTGACAACAGAAAAGTTACAGAGTCACAACACACATTTGGGTTTAGGTTTTTTCCTGAAAGGTTTATTGTTTTCCAGAGAAGTTCCATGAGTGAACACCAGAGGAATGGCCAGCATTCCCAGTTCTCTGCCCAATGGCCAGCATTCCCAGTTCTCTGCCAGCCCAGCGTGGCCACTTGCTGTTACTCTCCTGGGGTCCCGACCAGCAGGAGGAAGAGCAGGCAGGCTTATAAATAGCAATAAAACCCCCTTCTGAAACAGTTTTAAGGTTGATTCTGTGCCCAGTGGGTGCCCACAACTGATGCTCCACAAAGATGGGGCTGGGGGCTTTTTTTTTTCCAGAGTCCTCTTTGGGGTTGGTTCCAGGGAATTGGCCAGAGTAGCTGGTGCTGGGATCAAAGGGCTGGAAAGGCAGAGGTGTGGGTTTCTTCCCCGGAGCTGCCGGGATGTGTTGGCACTGGGTAATCACATTTGCATAAAACGCTCGCCTTCTTCCTGCAATCCCAGCCCACGCAGCGTGACGGGCGCTGGGATGGAAACCTCCAGGTGAAAACCCGAGTGTCCCCCCCACCCCTTCCCCTTTGAAAACCTGGAATTTATCCTGTGGGGTCTAAGAAAATCCCAGCTGGAATCCTGGAGACCCTTCGGCACCGCGTTAACATCCCAGATGCCTCAAAGCCGAGGTGCTGCCCTGCTCTGCGGCCACCTTTGGGGCTCCTCTGGTTGTCCCCCAGTGTCCCTGGGTGACACATGGAGGGGACCCCCCCTCCTTCCCCGGAGCTGCCGGGATGTGTTGGCACTGGGTAATCACATTTGCATAAAACGCTCGCCTTCTTCCTGCAATCCCAGCCCACGCAGCGCGGCGGGCGCTGGGATGGAAACCTCCAGGTGAAAACCCGCGTGTCCCCCCCACCCCTTCCCCTTCGAAAACCTGGAATTTATCCTGTGGGGTCTAAGAAAATCCCAGCTGGAATCCTGGAGACCCTTCGGCACCGCGTTAACATCCCAGATGCCTCAAAGCCGAGGTGCTGCCCTGCTCTGTGGCCACCTTCAGGGCTCCCCTGATTGTCCCCCAGTGTCCCCGGGTGACACACGGAGGGGACCCCCCCCTCCACCCCAGGAGAGGGACCAGGGACAGCCTGGCTCCCCCCCACTGCAGGTTTCTCTCCCTCCCAAACCCAACAGCGCTGAGACAAAACTCGTTATTTCAGCTATTTAGCTGCTAAGAATAGGGGGGGGGATGCTGTGCGTGGC